AGTATCCATTTTTTATTCACTTGAACCCACGTCAGCTCCCCATCGTGAACCCACCTCAGCTCCCCACCGTGAACCCACCTCAGCTCCCCAACCACTGTGAACCCACCTAAATACCCAACCACCGTGAACCCACAATCCCCAACCACCGTGAACCCAAATCTGTCACACACCCTTTACCGTTTAGCCACCACCGTAAACCCAGATCTGTCACACACCCTTTACCGTTTAGCCACCACCGTGAACCCAGATCTGTCACACACCCACCTCAGATCTTGTTTTGTTTCGCAAATTGTTGGAAAGGTGTTTTGCGTTTTTTATTTGGTTGGCACATTGTTGGAATTGAGTTTTTGTTTTATTTTTGACACGCATTAATCCTTTTAAATGCGTTTTGGTTTTGTTTGGCAAATGGTTGATAAATGTTTTTGTTTTATTTTAATTGCGTTTTTGTTTTGTTTGGCAAATGGTTGATAAATGTTTTTGTTTTATTTTGACACGCATTAATCCTTTTAAATGGGAGGTTTTTGTTTTGTTTGGCACACGAATGATTTGTCTTAATAAGTTTTTGTTTTGTTTTACTGTTTTTAATATTTTATTCGGATTTCACTAATTGATATATTTGTTTTGTAGATTCGACATCGTTCTTTAATTGTAACAAGAAATTACGCTCATATGCACAGATGTCAGTATAATTTGTCTCGACGTCGTAGGATTGATTACTACTTGCAGTAGAGGCGAAAGTTTCAACGTTTTTCTAGACTTGGAGTTCGTCATACACCCTGTTGGTCAACATTGTCTGTATCTTCCCCTGCATTGATGTCTTCAAGCAGTGTCGGATCGAACGAGGTATAAGTTTATAAGTTTATGTGTTTAGTTGATTACGTTAACATGTGAGTATTATATTTTGTAATGTGATTGGTGATTCGTATGATGTCCTAATGTTGGTTGTTCCTCACCGTACTGTCCTTAGATGAGTGATTATGTGGCCTGGTCCGTTGAGATGACCCACAAATTTTTGGTCCTGTTATCTGAGCGGGCCAAAACTTCGCACGGTACTACAATAAAAATAGCAAATTACCAGGCAATGTCGGACGACATATCATCAGTGGCTGGCAGGCGACTCAACGTCACACAATTAACCTCTAAGTTCTTTCGCCTGCGAAGAACTTATTAAGCATGGCAGAAATTGCTGCAACACACGGGGTTTGGGTGGGATCACGAGTCACAAAGTCCAACGTGTCCCGTTGAGGTTTGGCAAGAATATGTTAAGGTAAATTTCATATTTTTTAACTAACATTATTCAACGACACCGTAAATGTACACATTTTTTTCGGACTGCTAAATATTAATATATTATTATTTTAACTTACCAGTAAAACCCATTGGCACAACAATTTTACCACAAGGGATTTTCTCACAAGGAGCTTTATGAAATAATATTTGAGAAGCAAACTGCCACCGGAAGATATGTGTACACATCTACATCCCAATCGGTGGAGACCTCCAGTTATTCCAATCCCGGCGCGATTCCTATGGATGATAGCGACTTTGAACCTGATCCTGATTGGATGACAGGGGAAAAACGGCCAAACACATCTGGCCATGGAAGAGCGAGAAATAGGAGGCATAGAAGTGGCCAGGGACAAGCACTTGCGAATGCCATTTTTAGCTTGACGGACGAGCTTACGGAGAAGCAAACTATGGGATCGAGGGCTAGCAATCGCAGTGCAGATGAGAGGGAAGAAGAGAACACCAGTGCTCCATGTGATCCTTTTTCCATGAGCAATTGTATTGACATCATGACGGCCATGCAAGTACCGACACAGTTTTACCTACCGGTTGTCATGTACTTATATGAAAATCCAGGGTGGCGGAAGATATTCGTGAAACTCCCAATAGAGGAAAAGGCTAATTGGATTTTTACCAAGTTTCCCAATAGTAAGTAGATGACACTATATTTTATAAGTGTTTGGCAACAATTTTGTATGCGTCAATGGGCAATTGTCATTATAATTACAATTTATAACGCTACTGTATGAACTTATGTATGTGATATTACATGTGTAAACACTATTTTCGATTGTCATTACAATTACATATTGACTGTTATATTTTGCTAAGTAGTACAACAACTGTTAATTGTTGATAATTGTTGATAAATGTTTTACAAATGTGTAGGTTTAAATGGCATCGTCTAGCCGTACAAGAAGAAGATGACGTGCTACAGATGAGAGGGATGAAGAAGAAATACTAACAGATATAGTCGTTGCACTCTGTGGTGTTGCCACGTTAGAAGCAAGTAGGCATGAACCACGACATACATCCGTATTAACTGGTCATCAGTACATGTTGAAAGTACTCAACGGTCATCCTGACAGGATCTATGACAAGTGTCGCATGGACAAAGACTGTTTTACATTGTTATGTGAAATTTTGTCTGATCACGGCAAATTACAACCAACCAGGACGACGAGTGTGGAAGAACAAGTTATGATATTTCTAACCATCGTTGGAAAAAACGAGACAATCAAAACGATGATGGAGGATTTCCAACATGGTGAGACGATCTCTAGACATGTTACCGCAGTTTGCAACCCTATATGTGAGTTGAAGACAGAGTTTATCAGACCACCTGACTTCAATGATGTTCCATGGGAAATATCAGCTAACAGAAAATATTACCCTTTCTTTAAGGTACTGGTTCATTATGTTTGCTATTAGTAGATAGTTAAGTTCATTGTGTTATTAATTTTTATAGTAGGTTAATATGAGTAAAATTCAATTTTCATTATAGGACTGTATTGGAGCCATGGATGACACACATGTATACGCTTCAGTTCCACGTGAATTTGCCAATAGGTACCGGAATCACAAAGGATCGATGTCACAGAATGTAATGGTTGTATGCGACTTTAAGATGATGTTCACTTATGTCGTTACTAGATGGGAAGGAAATGCGCATGATTCAAGAGTTTTAAATTCAATTATTGATGATCCTAATTCTGGATTCCCATATCCTCCACCAGGTATAAGTATTTTCTTGACGTATTAAAGCGTATTACATCCAATGTTGAGGCCTTGTAATTCAAATAAAATGTCTGATATTATTACAGGGAAATACTATTTGGTTCGGGTTATCCAAATAGAGATGGGTTCCTCGCCCCTCATAGGCGAGTGGCTTAACATATTTCTGATCACCGCCATAACCGAAGGGGGCCACAAGAGTTGTTTAACTACAGACATGCTTCATTCCGCAATGTTATCAAGAGAACCTTTGGTGTTTTGAAAAGACGGTTCCGTATTCTAAATGGAATGAACAATTACCCGTTGGACAAACAAGGGAAGATTGTTATGGCATGTTGTGTACTTCATAATTTTATCAGAATGTACAATATGAACGACCGTATCTTCGAACAAACCAATAATAGTACGGGTAATGAGCAAGTATATGGTGATCGTCAAAACGGGGCAGAATATGGGCGAAATGGAGAAGGACCGAGTCAACCGCAACAAGGTATTGTAGACAACATGACGACTATACGGGATAACATAACGAATGCACTGTGGGCAGCACAGTGGACCATGTCGTAGTTATTAATGAAGTATACGTGTAATAATGATTGTAAGGGTTGATAGTTAGTACTTTTGTGATATATGTATTAATGTGATGTTTTTAAATAGTTAGATTAGTACTTGAAATTAATATGGGTTTTTGATTTTTAATATCTACGGGTGACAAAATTACCAATAAAATATTTAGTATTATTAAAATGTAACTTGATAAGTTATATATATAATAATACATTATTTTAACAAAATTCAACAAAATATTATATTAATAAATCATTTATAAAAAAATATATTAATCAAATATTCAACACAAATATCAAGGTCAAAATATTCAACCAAACACATATTCTGCAAATCCTATTCTCGTAATCATAACCCTATCTAACTATCCAATCATATCCCCAAAGTCCTATCCAAAATAATGAACTAAACGCACCATTAGTTTCAACAAGAAGATGTCCATACTAACGAATTATTACATACCCGCAAGTTAAAAAGTGTCGTAACAATTCTAAAGCAAAAATCATTGTTCCAAACAACTTTAGATAAATATTTTATTTCATTTTAAACCTTTAATGTAACGTAGCATATATTTTTTTGCAATATACAAATAATTATTACTATGTGGAGGTAACTTTCTTTAAGAGGGGAATTAGAAAAATTATAACTTATTATAATGTAGAGTTTATTCTTATTTATAACTATCCCAAATTGGGACTAGAATTTTTTATGACTATGTAGAGTTTATTCCTACATAGAGTATCACTATAGAGAGGTTTTACTTTATAATATATTAATATTAAAGTTTTGATTAATTAAGCGTATAATTGAAATTAGGACAAATTAAAAGTGTTTTAATGTTATTAAAAGAATTATTTTTGAATAAAATAATATATTTGATTGAATAATAATATAATATTTAGTTAGTTACTTCAATTATAAGTTCTAAGTATATCTGTAGTAAATTAGTAATTAATTAATTATATATGATATATTAATAAACATTAATACATTACTAGTTAAATGATTACTTAATCAATTATAACATTACATTATAGTTAAATAATTACTTAATTAATTATAAGTTGATAACATTATATTAGTAATTTAGTACATTACTTAATTAAATAATTAGAAATTTAATTAATTATAACAATACATTATAGATTTATAATATAATTACTTAATTAATTATAACATTACATTATAAACAAATNCTAATTGAATAAATTGTTACTTTTATCCTCCCAATGAAGTCTAAAAAGTTTATATTCAAATTGATAATATTCCAAAAAATCTTCAAAATTGTTTTTGGAGGGAAAATCAGAGTGGAGGCTGGTTCATGGGTCTTCGGGTTTGGGCTATCCGAGTTTTTGGCCCATATATAATTTCAATTTGAGGTATATTTTGTAATTAGAACCAGCGAACCTGAAATGGAATTACACGTTTCTTAATAATTGGGCTCAACCGGTGATGTCAGAGTTCAGGAGTTGGAACCCTGAAAACTAGCGTGGAGAAACAAGGAGTAATGTAAAATGGAAGCCCTGATCGCCTCGTACGGTGGCACATCGTCCGACTCTGACTCAGAACTCGATTGCTCAACTACAATTACAAGCATCGGTGTTACAAATTCAAATAGTCAGCCGGAGACTATCAATTTGCCCTTGCCACCGCCGCCTCTCTCTCTGCTCAATCCTTCCAATTCATCGGGTAAATTTCAGAAATCTTCTACTAATCTTACGATTTTCTTCTGTGGTCGCCAACTGTTTGTTATATTTTGCCTATGAAAGGTACGGTAGATTATCTTACTATTAGTCAGCCTCAGCCGAGCAGAGTCCGGAGCTTTCCCCATGTTGAAGGCAACTATGCTTTACACGTCTATATCCCAGGTCCTTTTGAGATTCGACTTTGTTTTTTTGCAATGGAATTTAGGTTTACGCAAAACATTTTAGGTTACTAAAACGGTGAAACCATTATTATTTTTTTTTTTAATTTACCGGGTTTATGCTTCCATAATATACCATTCATAGTCTTTTAATGTTGTGATATGCGAGACTTAACAGCAGTTTTTTCTTTAGTTACTATACCATCTGCCCTAAAGAAGGAGCTGGCCCAGCTTTTGAAGAAGGTGTCATCTATTGTGCCAGGTCTTCATGTTGTTGGCATTGACATTCCATTAAATAGTCTGTATAAAGATGATTCTAAGTTTCAGCAAATTACATTGGGAAGGGAGTTTCACATAAGTTTAGGAAGAACTGTCCCAATACGCTTGCACCAGATTGACTCTATTGTATCGATGCTTCGCCAGAAGCTTCATTGTCAGAGGCGGTCAGATTATATTCTCTTGCAGATTTCGTTAAAATTCAATTGTATGATACGGTTTAACACATTGTTTTATTGCAAGCAGGTATTGGATTGATTTTAGCAAGTGGGAGGTTTTTATAAATGATGATTGTACACGATCATTTCTCTCCATAGAAGTTCTTACAGGAGGATTACTTGAGGTATGCTCTATGTATTTATTTCCTAATTAGCCCTTAGCTTTTGCTTATGGGAAGCTCCAGAGCTTAGATACCTAAATCATCTGCAAGTCTACATGCTCTGTGTTTTCAATTTTTAAAGTGGGTATAGGCAGATGAATAATTGGTGGCATGAGCTTCATTTAATCATGCATCCTCAACATTCAAATGATTTCATTCTATTTTCCATTAAGTTGCCATAAATATGATACTGATTGGTTTCAAACCTTTCAGATCACTAAGCAGATTCAAGTGGTCAACGAGGTTTACAGGCTTCATGATCTTCCTGAATTTTACAAGGTTTGTTATTAATGTTATTGACTTTTTGCCATGTTGCTAATAACATGTTTAGAATATATATACCACAACTGCTTAAGCACCCGGTATCTGTTATGTCTCATGTATGCTTTGTTGAATGTTGATAACAGAATCCACGCCCCCATATATCCTTAGCTTGGGCATCAGGAGACATCAGCAATTCTTTAAAGAGAGTGGTTGAAGAAGAAACAAATAGATTAAGTGTTGAGGGTTCATTACAGAAACATATTTTTTCCAGTAAATTCAGTGGTATTGAGTGTAAGATTGGTAATAAATTATACAAAATATGTAAATTTTCATATGATTAACTAAACTGATCATTTGTATTATATTTGTAGAACAGTATTTTATTCATCGGAGGGATCTGGGTTTGCTAATCGTTTGCATGATTTAGGTGATGAATGTTAACTTTAACTAATTTTGCGATCAATCAAGTGCATAACAAGATAATCACCCAATTGTTAGTCGTGTAGGTTGAAGTCATAATGTTTTAAAATTATGCCATATTTTTTTGAGTTGAAAGAAAAGAAACAATTGATTTGCTCTTATAATTTTTTAAACAAAGCATGGGTGTGCAATATAGTAGAATACTTTATCTGATCACAATGGGAAAAAAGAGATCTGAAAATATGTATAGTGGAAAAGAGTTGGCAGAAATCCTCTTTCTATGCTTACCAGCGGCCCAGGCCCTGGCCTCTTTGTCTGAGAGAATTTGAACCCAAGCCCCAGCACTCCTTAATGCTTCTTATTTTTATTTTGAGTTACTCTTTTTTTGTGCTTTGCTTTAGTCTCTAAATTAGTCGTAGACAAATAGACTATATTGCATGGTCTTTTGTAGGACTTGTGAATTCGTGTGGAATTTTGATTGAAATACAAATGATATGAAAATTTTCAGGTAGAGAAAATAAGAGGCTGTTAACGAAAATAATAAGTTCAAAATAAGTAATTATCAGCTAAATTAACTCAAAGGGATTAGTCTGTCAGTCAAGGAGATTTGCTTAATTCTTTAGTTTCTGGGTTCAATTTATCATAATAATATTGTGGCTTAGGTGGTTTTTTTGGGCTTGTAGGATATTCAATAAACTCTGGGGATTAGTTGAGGGGCTTGTAAGGTGTTTACTGGATTTCAGAGATTAGTTGAGGTACATACAAATTAGTCCGGATATCCCAATTAAAAAAAAAAAAAAATTGTCAGCTGAACTTGCCTACCAACTTGTATATAAACCAATATCTCATAAGTAAAATTATCCCACAAACTTGATAATCCTCGAGAAGTTACAAGTAATATAGCATGTAGGAGCAATATTATGCTTCTAATTCAATCATACAACTAGATAAAACACAAAAGATAGAATGACTATTTTGTGTAATTTTTCTCTAATTATACGAGTCAGTGGTAAGAAAATCGCTGTTGTATAGTGAAAGGAGTGGCCCTTTTTTTTAAATCATCAGTCTCCTGTCTCCTGGGATATTTATTACCCGTACCGCAAGGCACGTAGGCCACGGCTATAAATGGGTGGCCCATCAGTGGTTGATTTTATCTCCAACGCGCCAAACGGCGCTGACCTTTGTTTCAGTGAGTTCAGATCAGAGGTCCCCCCCCCCCCCCACGTTATTGTCTAGCAACCTCACAACACTGTCAAAATTTTCTGTCCCCAGACACTAGTTTGAGTTTAGCCTTTTAAATTATTAAGTGGGTGGGTGGGCCCTCGCTCAACTTTTTCGAATTCCACATTTTCCATCTTCTCATGAATGCACTATACCGTGAAAATGATGCAAGAGTAGTGTCCAGTGGACGCTTTTGTTTGTTTGTTTCACCGCCAATTTATATATTACTAGTGGGATCTGCCGCATTACTTGGATCGATTGCTCCTTGATTTTTATGCGAATTGTATTTATTGTGAATCATCACATCAAAACACTTCAATGGTTCACACTGTATTGCGTGCATCTCACCTACAACATGTATTAGCTAGTTGAATTGATATTTTAACTTCAATTTTGTATTTAATTTATTTTTATTAATTAGTAATTTATTATAGGATTGGAAATTAGAAGTGTTATGTCTAAAATAAGAACTAATACATGCTGATATCATTAAACACTAATTAGAATCCAGGAAATTATTCCATCGTCCAAAACATGACACGTCTCTACAAGCAAAATAAATACAACAATCACAAATCCAAACCGACTCAATAATTTGTACCTAGATAAATTTGGTTTACACACCTGTCTAAGCCCGATTTAATTTAAAGATATTATTTGAGTTCTCAACGAATAAGAAGGCATGATAGATCTTTACGAAGTCATGCCACTTACGAAAGTGTAATAATTACCTTGAACTAAACCGGTATAAATAGCAAAGATACACTAATAAAAAGAGACTGACTTGACATTCTATAATAATACTTAAAACACTAAATACTTGCAATCCCAAATCGCGATCTTTTGTAAGCTTGTCTAGCAATTAGAAAGTAATTTATATAAACAAACACAATAGATGTATGATTCGTTTTAAACATCTGAACTGCTATAAAAATTATCTTGTCAACTTCACATTTATGTCTTTGCATGTTACTGTGCTCACAGTACCTCACCCATTCACTATAATCGGCTCACATATGAATTTTTAGCATTTTACACATGTAAAATCGTTGATGTCAAAATCCAGCATTAACAATAAGTATTATAGATAAAAAAATTTCTTAATTTTTTTGACATTTTTTGTAATCCTTCATTTTTTTAATCCAATAACATTGAAAAATAAATATTTAACATTTCTCTTATAAATATTTTATTAGCATAGATGAATTATCCAATAATCTTAAAAAAAAACGTAAGCCATTATATGCTAACTTACTATTTTAAAATAAAAGTGACAAAAATAATTATTTTATCTTTCTTCTCAACACCATTTAATTGAAACTAATGGACAACTCACAAATGGCTTTAACAAATCAAGTTAAAAGATTTTAAATATACGTCCCTGTCAATTGTTAAGAGTATATTCATATACTATTTTAAAACCAAAATATACTAAAATATACTATAAGTTCAAGATATACTTGAATTTTCTATTATTTAAATTTATCATCCTCAATGCAAAGGTATATTTTAAAGATTTAAATAACATCTTAAGTCGAATTTTGTTGATCTTCTATCTGGAATTTTACTTACTAATCAATTTTAAATTGATATTAATTACTTATTATTTAAATAAGTAAATAATTAAAATTATTTTCTTACATAGTGAGTAATTTTAACTTATTATTTAAAACTGTTTTAATACGGTCTTAAGCTACAAGTTTAAACAATAAAGAGTAAACGATTTTTTCCACTAAAGGTTTGTCATTTTTCCACAAAAAAAAATTTCAAAATACCACAAAATACCACTTTTCCATCAAAAGTTTATATTTTGTTAATACTAAAAATACTTTTCATTTTCTTAATTTGTGTTCAACGAGTTACTGAGAGTCAGGATAAGAAAGGTTTTATAGAATAGAGGTTGATGGCTCGAATGGTGGTGACAGATTTAATATTCGTTGTCGGAATCAGCCGAAAATTAACTAAAAATAGAAAACTCTAGTTTTGCGATGATCGACAATCGACAAGAAATTAGATGTCAGAAAGAGAGGGGTTTTATAGAAATAAGACCAGATGTTTAAATGGTAGTGGCAGAAAGAAATTTCACTACCGGCTTTGGATAGTAACTGAATATTATTTTTTTTATGGAAAAGTGACGTTTTGATATTGTTTGGGTGAGAAAGCGTCGTGAAGTCAAACCTTGGGTGGGAAAAATTGTTTACTCCATTAAAAAATATTTTTAACAAGGATTTTTTTTTTTTTTTCAAAGTACGCACATTATTAACATTATAAAAGCTAAAATTTTAATAAAAGTTGAAATCATGAGAAAACAATAAGTAACCACTGTCATTGACGTTGATTCTGTTAATCTGAATCTGACTTTGAAATTAGGAGAAAATGATGAATAAATAAATAAATTTAGTGGAGTAATATATCATCTTTATCCTTATCCCAATAACGTTCTCTTTCCCCATTTAATTAGGTCAGACACGTGGTTGGTTTTCACTGCAATCGATAATTTATTTGCACACACAAAAGGCGTTTTAATTTCAACATCGAAATCTCAGCGCTCCCTCCACCGCCCACGGCCACCCCAATACCTTGTAACTTTATCAAAGCTGATACTGTTAGTGGAATTATTATTATAATAAAAGACGTTTGAAGTAAGTGATTTAGTATAATGTTCACAAAGTGATGACATTATTAATAAAATAGGAGTTCCACGTGAGATAATGCATAGAGTGACGTAATATAATACGATATAAGTGAAACTGAATTGAAGATAATATAAAGTAAAAAGATTTCATTCACTGACAGATGGCTTTAGTGATATGGAAGCTAATTTATATCATATGATATGTGTGTTAATTGTCATGTCAAATTTTATTCCCTTAAACACATTCGTTAGTTCCCTAAATCTAAACACACAATATTTAATTTAATTTAACGAGTAAATAATAATAAAGTTTATATGTAAAAAATTTCAAAAAACACGTGGAATAAAATGGAAATATCCAGGTAGTTCTAACTTTTTCGCGACACACGAGTTTCACGCCAAATATCATACTATGCTGCATCATTAATCGGAGTTTGAATTCGAGAATGACATTACATAACGCAAAGATGTCAGCAACAAGAAAGCCTTACGTGATAAGAAGAATTCAAATACATATTTAATCAAATTCAGTTATAAAATTGTAGCCATACCTATGACAATGAATACTAAAATGATTAAAATATCAAATCAGTATATTCACTTGAATTCCAATAATAATAATAATAATAATAGTATATGATTTCAGTATTGTATTTAATTTTTGTAGTCAGATTTTTAAAATATGAATTTGTCATATTATTTAGGGAAAATTTATTCCTGACTTCTGATTTAGGCGACGTTGCAGTTTACTTTTTTTTTTTTTCTCCCTCTTCTTCAGTTTATCTATGGCTTCCACCTTCATATACCACGGCTTCCACCTTCTTCTTCAAAGATCAGAACCAGCGCTGCAACTCACTTCCTTTTTTCCTTCTTTTTTCTTTTTGTCTCCTTCTTCTTCAGTTTATCTACGGATTCCACCTTCTTCTTCAAAGATCAAAACTAGCGACTGCCACCCTCTTCCACATTTCTTCTTCAAAAATTGCAAAAGAAACCGCCACCCTCTTCCACGTTACAACCACCATAATACCCTCATCCACCTGCATTCAAAAACACCACCCAAAAACACATTCTTCCTCCCTTAAGACTCAAGAAACACCACCATCTTTCGGTT